ACGTTAACTGCCATGTGACCGCTGGTGGCCTCAAGAATATTTATTATGGGTACACCCAATGACATTTTTCAGTGTCATTATAAATTTGTATTTATATATACAAATATATACTATTGAATTTGAAAAAAAATTCAAAATTCAAAAAAAATGTTAAAATTATGTTTATTACATCAAAAAACTTGCAATTATTCCCAATATGCCGCAGCATATTTTCAAGATCATTATTTTAGCGCCACGGAAAAATTAATAATTTAAATCCAAATTAATTTACGGCAGTCTGCGGCCGTATGGCCTCCTACAAAATGATATGGTGCGGCAGCCGGCGGTCTAAAAATTATCAATACCTAATTATTTTTATACGGACGCCGACAGCCGCATGGCAGTCAATGTGTTAAAAAAATAACTTAATAGTTGATACTCAAGCAAAAAAATATGTTTCAAAAGTATTCTACTTTTTGTCATTTGAATTTGGAATAMATCATATATAATATTGAATATAGTATGCAATATATCAGTGGTGTAGCCCATGGTAGGGCTGAGGATGCTGCAAGCCCCTCCCACCCCGAAATGTTGAGAAAATTAAAAAATTATTTTAATGGTATATGAAAGTCGCTAAAAAAGTCTTAAATTGTATTTTAAATTATAAAAAGAAAATTCATTGATATTTTTCTACTAGTTAAATTAGCATTTCATTTTTGACTTAATTTTTTTAATATAACATTTATAAACAATTAATTTTTTTCACTAATGAAGATTGACTATGACTTTATGTAATAACTGATCATTTATTTTCTAACATTATAGGTTACCTAGTTTTGGAACAAGTATTAATTGCAGCATGTGATTGTAACCGTATTGATGTAGCCAAAGTATGTTTACAAATGCTTCTTAATAAATTTCCTGACAGTCTTAGAGTGCGTAGACTGGCTATAACAATACTAGAAGCAGAGGAAAGGTAAGTAAACCACWCTWTTTTTTTAAATTTGCATTTTAAACTTGAAAAATATTATTGTTTTAARAATCARAATATATTTAATATTTTATTTTTCCTATATTAATAAAACATCTCACGAAATTGTGTAGACATACAACGCTCAAGAAATAGCGTTTTTAGCCACATAGCTGCCATTGCGGCAGGCTGTAATTTTAAAACATACTTTACGCWTTCAAAGAATATGGGTTACTGAGCGGTTTTATTGTAGAAACACTTATGAACAAAATTGTAGAAGAGATTCTATCTGGTTCTGTAAGAAGCCCGATTTTTGATATCTGTAAAACTTTGTATAATATTTCATGTTTAATCATACCTGTTTTTTTACCTTTATGGAGAGTTATTTTTAAGAATTAAAATTTATAAAATAAAAAATCTGGCTTTTTACAGAACTACTTTTTAATCTCCTCTTCAATTTTGTTCATAGGTGTTATTACAATAAAACCACTCAGTAACCCATATCCTTTGAACGCTCATRTGTGTTTTAAAGGACATTTTTTGCGTACATATTTTTATGAGATGTCAAATAATTAAATGAAAAACTTTTCCTACAGARAAATTTACATTTATAAAAACAAGTATTTTAATAATTATATACACCAGAACATTCATAAAATTAATTTTTTTTAATTTTTTATAACCTAGATATGATGAAGCATTAGAATCTCTTGACAAGCTAATCAAGGCAGATGAAACCAGTGCTCAAACCAGGAAACATAAAGTCGCAATATTAAAAGCTAAATGTCAGATAAGCGAAGCCATTAAAGAACTTGTTGAATATCTTAAAAAGTATTTTTCATAATTAAAAGCCGGTASTAATTTATTTGTGATTGTGTATTATGTCATAATAATTTCAGGTTTATGGTTGACCAAGAAGGTTGGCAAGAATTGAGCAATTTATACTTGTTAGAAGGAGAATATGCCAAATCTGCATATTGTATGGAAGAAATGATCCTACATAATTCTCAGAATCATTTATATCATCAGAGAAATGCTGATATACGATACACACAAGTATTGAAACTTAATTATAAACTTGTAAAATAATTTTTTCATTTTTATACCTATACTATGTTTATTGTATAGCTATCAAGCATACAGTAAATTTACTACAATCCCTCTGTAATGTTTATTGTATACATTTAATTGGTGTTAATCTTTAAATAAAATAAAAATCATAAATTTTATGAACATATTTAAAAACAAAATTAAATATTGAATTTTATTTTTCAGGGAGGTACAGAAAATTTGGAATTAGCACGTGCTCATTATTCATATGCTATTCTTCTTAACCCTAACAACATCCGAGCTTTGTATGGATTGTACTTGGTAAACTATATTATMRTTATTTTATACTTTTACAATAGTTGAATTTAAATCATTAATTATTATTAGATTCTAGAAAAAAAAAACCATTGACATAATATGTTTACATTCTATAAAAAAAAGTCAAATACTTTCCATTTAATTTATCTATTATATAATTTAGAATAAAAATATTATAGAATATGTAACATTGAGTTATTTTATTAAATTGCGCATTGGTTTGAATAAAAATAACTAAAATTAATTAATTCAAAACTAAAGTCAATATCAGCTGTTCACAATTTTAAGATAATAAATAATTTTATTTTTCAACTTGATTATAGGTAGGTTTATTATGTTAGTGTCTCACAAAGTAAATTTATTATAAATTTATAACAAAACCAATTTTTTAGACTGCTCGCAGTTTGATGTCATCACAAAAACATAATCAAACAAAAAAAAACACATTCAAGAAAATTGCTACATTGTCATTAAAACGAGTTGAACACATGTACAGGTAAATAATGTTACTTAACTTTTTAAAATATTTTCTATATAATTATAAAACGGTTTGTTTCTGTTTCAGTGAGAAAAAGCAATTAAATAAGAAAAATCAGCTGTATGTACTTGAGACATTAATGGGATCATTGCATTTGAGCTTAAATTAAATTAGTCTAAGATATTTGGTATAACTTCAATATTTATTATTTTAAAGATGTTTCTTACTATATTTTTGGCATTTATTAAAATAATATAGCCAATATGCTATATTATAATGTAAACTTTATTTGATACATTGTAAGTAACGTGTTCTGCCAATATGTTGTAAATCATTTTCAGAAATTTTTTTTTCCATCAAATTGTCAATTTAGCATCAATRTTACTGTTTTTTCCGTTACCAACTTCTTTGTTGTTTTCACCAATTTTATTTACTACAAACTAACTCATCTGGATATTAAATAGTAGTTAATAAAATTAAAATTACTGGTATGAATGTGGTACTATATTTCAATCCAACTAGTACACTGCCTTTGATACAAGGTGTGTTTTCACCAACATTGTTTCAACAACTGTACAATTTCTAGTAAATATAATAACACTACATTTACTTTGAAGAAATAATGATATTGTATAATCTG